AGTTCAAGTATTAAATTTGATTTTCTAAGGAACCTTGTATTTTTGTACAAAAAAAAAGTATTAAATTAAATACACTTGGGAAAATTATGAAAAGTAATTTTCTGAGTTCCTTGTGATCAAAGGTACTTGAGAAAAATAAAAATTATTTTTAGAAAAATACTCAATTTTTTAGCATTATTTTAAATTTAAAAATAATTAAAAATCCAAAAAATATCCAAATATTTCAAAATGTTCCTAATGGTATCTTGATCACTTAGGACTCATTAAAATATTTTTTCTAATTTTCCTAAATTAAAATAAGTTTTAAAAGCTTTAAAAAATGAAGTTTCTTTATTTTTCCCATAAAAATAGTTATACAGATTAAATTAAAAATCATAAATATATAAAATCTAAGTTTTTTGAACTCAGAGGAGTCTAATGAAAATATAAAAATAATTTTGGTAATTAAAACATTAATTTTCATTTAATTAAACCATTGAAACTTGTTAATAATTGAATAATAATATCAATATTTTAATTCAAAAAATCATGAAATTTTGTATAAGTATTTCTCTGACCTAGGAAAATTTTCTCATAATTAAAAACTTTATCTTGGAAAATTGATTAAATCAATTTCTAAAAAAAAGCCTATTTTCTATGTTTAAATAAATATTAAAATTAAATTAAATTTTGAGAAGTCTACGTATTCTCCTCTAACATTATAATTACCTCATGAATATGATAATCTCAACCCTCAAAGTCATTTGAGTTGTGGTTAATGAGTTATGAGGTGGAGTGCCTCAAGGGCAAAATAGTCATTTTAGAAAATTTAGGATTAACAAAGGGAAAATGGGTAATTTTGATCTTAATAAACATGTTTGGATGATTGGAACACAATGAGATTAAAAGGTAGAGACTCACTCACCACCCTTGCACAACATCAACAAAATCATAATTCTCTTAATCTTCATGACTTGGAAGTCAACTAAGATCAAATGATTTTTAATTGATGGGCTTAAGCTGGAAAGATGATAGTTTACTTTTCTTAAGCCCAAAGTTGAGGATGATTTTGACTATTTGATAAGAATACATATCACGTAAATCAAAACTTTGATAATAATCATTCCACCTATCATGATTATTAAAGTATTAGTAGTGACTCAATGTCTAAATTCAATTGATTGGATTTAGAAGATAACATGATTGGTGATTAACATCTTTAAACACTACAGGTTTGACCTTAATTGTGGACACCACAATCTTAAATGACTTAAACTTGCCTTAAGGGCGCCTACTCACATAACTTTTAAATGAAATATCAACTGATTAATTGGGTATCCTATCCTCGGGATAATTCATTTGCCAAGTTTTACTGAGCAATGGGGAGGTCACACTTCAACTTCAGATGA